CCTGAGTCCTCTCTTCCTGAGGTCCCTGACCCTGAGTCTGACCGCGCTCGTGCTGCCAGTCCCACTGTCTCTCGTCTCCTCGCCACTGCTGTCACAGAACCTTCGTTTGAGTCTGCTGCTGCGTCTACTCTCGTTGCTGAGCTGCTTGACTTTGCTGCTGCCTGCCGTCTAGACTACGCCACTGCTCTTGTTGCTGAGTCTGCGTCTGCCAGTCCTCCGTCCGTCGGGGGTGAGTGTGCTCTTGGCACGGACGTCCTTGAGGATAGGCAGGAGGAATTTGAGTGTCTTGCAGCTGCTGTACCTCGTTTCGCTTCCATGCTACTTGCCCCTGAGGGAGACCCGGATGCACCAGACATCCCGACCCCGCGCTCTTACGCAGAGGCGATTACGGGTCCTTACTCCTCTCAGTGGCAGGCAGCCATGGATGCCGAGATGGCATCCTCGAAGTCCACAGGCACCTACGTCGACGAGGTTCCCCCACCTGGGGCGAACATAGTCGATGGCATGTGGATCTTCAGGGTGAAGCGGCCGCCAGGTTCTCCGCCTGCCTTCAAAGCGCGTTACGTTGCTAGAGGCTTCAGTCAGCGACAGGGAGTTCACTACTTCCATACCTTCTCCCCCACCCGGAAGATGACTACTCTTCGGGTGTTGCTGCACGTCCCTGCTCAGCGTGACTACGAGTTGCACTCTCTGGACTTCAGCACAGCGTTTCTGCAGGGCAGCCTGCACGAGGAGATCTGGTTGCGTCGCCCACCTGGTTTCACTGAGTCTTTTCCTGCAGATACTCAGTGGAGTCTTCGGCGGCCAGTCTACAGTCTCCGCTAGGCGCCCCGCGAGTGGCACGACACACTGAGGACTACACTTGCGGCTCTTGGATTTGCTCCTGCTACTGCTGACCTGTCGCTGTTTCTACGCACCGACACCTCGCTGCCGCCATTCTACGTCCTTGTCTACGTCGACGACCTCGTCTTTGCCACTGCTGACACTGAGGCACTGACTCTTGTGAAGTCGGAGCTGCAGAAGAGACACACCTGCACTGACCTGGGTGAACTGCGCAGCTATCTTGGCTTGCAGATCACCCGGACCAGAGCACGGCGCACCATTACCCTGACTCAGTCACACATGGTGCACCAGGTCCTTCAGCGCTTCGGCTTCCAGTTCTCTTCGCCACAGCCCACTCCTCTGTCTACCAGCCACTCGCTCTCAGCTCCACCTTCGGACGAGTCCGTAGAGCCGAGTGGTCCGTACTCAGAGCTTGTGGGTTGCCTCATGTACCTGATGACGTGCACTCGACCCGACCTCGCGTACCCTCTCAGCCTCCTGGCTCGCTACGTGGCTCCCGGTAGGCACCGAAAGGTGCACTGGGATGCTGCGAAGAGGGTACTGCGTTACTTGTGCCGTACGTCAGGCATGGGGCTCGTGCTTGGAGGACGGGGTCCAGTTGTCCTCACCGGTCACGCAGACGCCTCCTGGGTTGACGACTCAGCTACGCAGCGGTCGTCACAGGGTTACACCTTCAGCCTTGGCTCTGGCTCTGTCTCCTGGCAGTCTACCCGCTCGTCTTCGGTTCTCAGCTCCAGTTGTGAGGCTGAGATCTACGCCGGGGCCATGGCTGCTCAGGAGCTACGCTGGCTCACCTACCTGCTGACCGACTTGGGAGAGCAGCCTCGTTCACCTCCAGTTCTGTACGTAGACAACAAGGCCATGATTGCCTTGTGTTAGGAGCATATATTGGAGCACAGAACGAAGCACATCGCTCTGCGATACTTTCTTACGAGAGTTGCAGCAGCGTGGCCAGCTTCGTCTTGCGTACGCGGCCACTCGAGCCAACACTGCTGATATATTCACCAAGGCACTTCTGCCTGGTGATCATCAGCGCTTTGTTACTGTGTTAGGCCTTGTGCCTACCTTGCCTCACTTGCTTGACCCTGTTTGTACTGTGATCTATATATATACCTGCATGCTTGCACTTGCTAGGGTATGATCACTGTATTGTTTGTTCTCTTTGTATAACTCTGCATGTGAACTGGCCTTGTGGCCCTTCGCTTGTGCTCAGACTGTGTGGTGACTTTGTGATCCACCCTGAGCTTGCTTTGCTTTCTTGACTGGTCTTGTGACCACTTGTTCTCCCCCACTTTGCCTATGGGGGTGTGTCAGAACATTATAGCTTTTACATTTGTGTAGGCTATAGTGGGGTAGCCCATAAGGGGTACAACCTAATTAGGGTTAGTACTTGTACCCAACTCTTTGCTAGTTCATTCATTCTTGTTCGTTATTTTCACACCTGAGTGGTGCTGTCTGCTTCGAGATGAATGCCCTTCGCCATCAGTTGTCTGACGCTGAGTAAGTTGTAGCCGAGTCCTTCTGCAATTAAAACCTTTGACATTTGTAAAATAACGTTAGTTTCCCGAGACTGAAGTTGTACAATCTCTTGTCGTCGTGTGTGCAGGTTCTGGTTGTTGGCGTCTGTGATTATAACTTTGTGCTGAAGTTGATATTCTTGTTGAACGAAGCGACCCGAGGAGCACATGTGTTGTCCGTAGCAGCTGTCCAAGAACCAAGTGTCTTTTCCTGACGCCTCGCTCTGTGCGATGGCTGCATACGCCGGGTTGGGTTCTAGTGACTCGCGGCGAGGGGTGCGCTCGTCGAGTTGTTCTTCTGGTGAGTAGAACGGTGGTGATCCGGTGATGCAGGAGTCTGTCGTTCTTGTCATACAGTTTATGATGTTTCTTGTGCCTTGTGCAGGGTTTGTCGTTGATGATGTTGAAGACTGCACTTGGTTGGTGGGATGCGCCTGCGTAGAAGTTACTTGACTGCTTGAGGGTCGAAGTTGACGTTGCGGCGACGTCGACTGCTGCTGATTCAGGCAGTGTGTGCGCGGATGTCCGGATGTCTTGCAAAGGTGACAGAACGGTGGGACGTATTGTTGAATCTGACGGTTGTTTTGTCGATTGTTGTTGTTGTTGTAACGTCGTTGAGTGTGAAACGCGAATTCCGGTGCTGACGCTTTCTTCTTGTGTCGTTCTTCGTGCAGGTCCATGTCCTGCTGTTCAGCGTGAATTTTGGCACTGAGTGCCGCTTCGGAGATCTTCCCGTGAGCTCAAGGAGTGCTCGAGTGGAGCGCCAATGAGGACCGAGGCTAGCGATGATGACTGTTACGAAGGCTTCTTCAGATATTGATCCTCCGCATCGAAGGAGTCTGTCGCGCAGTCCTCGACAGCGGCTGATACACGCCATTCCCTTTTCGTCGGTTTTCATTTCCACTGTTGTCAGCTGTGCCATGAGACGAATTTGATTAACACTATCTGTTGCTTGATACATACTCTTCAGGTGGTCGTATGCCTGTTTGGCGGAATTGCCGTATCCTCGATAAGACCGGATGTTCTGCTGCTCGTTTGGAGATAAATTTCGCAGTAGTATCGTATACGCCATTAGCGACTGATATGTATACTGCTGCTTGTCGTATTGTGTCCCATGCGTTGGGTATGGCAGGGACCCGTCGAAGAATCCAAGAATTTGCGCGCCCTCCATCATCAGATCGAATTCGAATGACCAGGTATAGAAGTCCTTTCCGTCGAAAGGTGTTGATGTCTGTAGTTTCAACACATGTGCGAATTGTGATTGAACTTGAAGTGCGTCTAATGTCTTCTCTTGTCCAGGTGAAGACTGTGGTTGTGGCGCGAAGCTGATGGAGCCACGTTGAGGCTCGTACGGAGCAAAGGTGGGTTGCTGCTGATTTCCGCGCGCATAGGATGAACCGTCAAGACTCATCGGTGTTGCTCTGTTGTTGTTGTCGCTGTTGTTTGATTGCGCAGGAGCTGCTTGTTGGTGTTGCTCGTAGAAGGACATGAAGGAGAATAATTTCTCCATCATACTTGGATCGAAGTTTGCTGCTTGATTCCCGGGAGTTTCGGTTGACTCCGCAGCTGGTCTTGTTGCTGTGCCTTCCTCTGTCTGTAGGCCAGAGGCTGGAGGTAGAGTAGGAGTAGTGCCGAGAGATCCGTCGGAGGAGCTCCTCTCCTTCTGTGTTGCCATGTCTTGTGTTGTCGTAAGAATTTTGGAAATCGATCTTGCCCTGTTTGCTCTCATACCATGTTGGGGTGAGAAATAGCCCTAGGATCTTTCAAGGCTAAGACTCTAGTAGTAAAGATGTTGTAGTTGCGGAAGCGTTAATTGTCAGAATCCCAGTCACTAGACCATTGGGATAGAAGGGCTTGTTAAGTAGCGGGTCAGTGCGCCCATAACCCCCCAGGCCAACATGCCTGTAACCCTTCCCTAGGATCAATCGGGGATCACCAGTGGACCTCTGACACCCCCCGCACTGGGATGCCCGAAGTGCACACACTGGGATTCGAACCCGAGACCGCTCTGATACCATGTCAGAATCCCAGTTACTAGACCATTGGGATAGAAGGGCTTGTTAAGTAGCGGGTCAGTGCGCCCATAACCCCCCAGGCCAACATGCCTGTAACCCTTCCCTATGATCAATCGGGGATCACCAGTGGACCTCTGACATTAATATCAGAGTTTGCTGAACCACCTTGTACTGGTGTGTGAGAACAAGATAAGTTGATAATAGCAGAGAGATACAAAGCTTTTTATATGATTACGAAGGAATATGCAAGGTTTTACTTTAAACTGTTTTTGCTGTTGCGGTTCGATACAGTGACGACTCGGGTAACTGCTCAATATCGAGTCAGTTATGTGTCCTTGCTATCGCGCTGTACTTTTCGTCGAGTCAAAGGTCGGCGACCTTTGACCTTCGCGTAACCTCTAGCTGTTACTTTTGTTTGACTCGCGTGTTGCTTCGCTGTAGTCTGCTCCGTTTCGTTGCTTCATAAGCGTTAATTTACTTGTTTCCAACAGTAAGCCATGATGTAGAAGCCACGGCTTCACGCCTGTATGTCATCACTCACATTCCTACCCAGCAAGGCTACCACCCAGCTCTCATAGAAGCTCCCCGACCCAGCACTCTCTGTGCAAAAGCAGAGCCACTGCTCTTACAGCTCATCCTTGTCTGCTGAAGCAGCACCAGCGGCAGCAGCTGCAACAGCTACTGGCGGTATCTCAGTGTCTGCTTCCACCTCCTCCCATACCTGCTGCTGCTCCACAACCTGCTGCTGTTGCTGTTGCTGCTGGTGCTGGTGCTGGTGCTCGTGCTGGTGGTGAGGGCCATGCATGAGGCGGCACAGGAGGGAGTTGGCAGCATCTGCAGCCTGCTGGGCGGCAAGCAGCAGGTCCTCCAGCCAGATGCGGAAAATCCTTGCCGTACGCTTCACCATCACGGCGGCCTTGGGGCGCCTGTACTCGCCATAGCGCCAGTCCTTGGTGGCTATCACTCGTGTTGAGGGGGAGTCGAGGGAGTCTGGAGGGGGGGCGAAAGAGGGTAGTAGATGAGAGGGCGAGGGAGGGGAGAAATACTGAGTTGACTGCCGTCATGGAGAAAGGAGAGGGTAGTAGATGAGCGCCTTGGGCGCCTCACCATCACGGCTGCCTTGGGCGCCTGTATTTGCCAAAGCACCAGTCTTTGGAGGGTATGACCCGTGTTGTGGGGGAGTCAAGGGAGTCTGGTCGGGGGGTGGTGAGAAGAGAGGGTAGCAGACAATCGGGTGAGAGGGAGGTGAGAACTCTTCAGTCAACTCAGAAGTCGTCAACATGCCTGCCTTGGCCGACAATCCTAGGTGGCTATGACCCTTGTTGTGGGTGGATCAAGGGAGTCTGGATGGGGGGACGAGAGGAGGGAAGAGGGGCGGGAGTGGTTGAGGGATGGAAAGAAAAGAAGGGGTAAGAGAAATGGTGGAACAGGGAGCGGGATGGAAAGGAATGGGAATTCCAGGAAGGAGAGTGGGTAAAAGGGAGGACTAGGGGCAAGGGCGAGTGAGGAATGAGTGGGTGGGTTGCTCTGACTTCTCTGGTGCGTTTGATAGAGAAAAATACATGAAACTGAGCTGCTTCCCGTGGCACCATTCCACACATGGTACCGTGCATGCAGCCACAGATGGATTTTTAACAGCGACCGCAGATGTCAAAATACATCTCACCCGGCACGCAAACACCATCCCGGCCTCACCAGCGCCCATTCGGCTGCTGGGTTCCACGGCGCTACAGTAGGAGCGCTGCTCACCCCGCTGCCATGTCCTTTCCGTTCACCACCATGTCATCATGCACACCTCCATGAGCCCCCCACGCACTCCCCCATCCACCCCCCCATGCACCCTCCATGCACCCCCCATGCGCCCCCCCATGCATCCCCCACGCCACCACCGCGCTCACCGGCGCCCATGCGGCCGCTGGGTTCAACAGCACGGCAATAGGAGCGCTGCTCGCCCCGCTCCGCTCGCTGCTGCAGCTGCCCCCACTCCTCCTCCCGCTGCTGCGCCGTCACTTGCCGTGACTCCACAATCTTTGGGGCAGGGGAGAGGATGGGGAAAGGTGGGGGAGATGGGGTTGGGGGGGTGTGGGGAGTGGAGTGGAAGAGGGGGCGGAAGAGCGCACGATTTGAGGAGAAGGAAACGATGGATGGGTGCAGTGCAGTGGTGTCACATGCTTTCAATGAGAGAGTTACTGAAGCAATGCGAGCAGGATGTAGCCCAGAGCACCATGTGCGCTGTCACGCGTCCTGGGGAAGCAATCAACATGTGAGTGGCCCCGCGCATGCTATGTTGGGCCCTGTTGGGCCCTGTTGGGCCCTGTTGGGCCCTGTTGGGCCCTGTTGGGCCCTGTTGGGCCCTGTTGGGCCTCTGACCACCTCTCTAGTCTACCCAGTTTGTTAAACTTCTTTCTGACACGTCTCAGAGCCCCCCTCACCTCCTTGAAGAGCCCATAGGAGGGGCGCAGCACGCGGGTGAGGTTGGCGGAGGCCCTGTGTGGATGTGAACGGATCTCACCTTCAGGCGTGCAAAATCCCCCCTCACCTCCTTGAAGAGCCCGTAGGAGGGGCGTAGCACGCGGGTGAGGTTGGCGGAGGTCCTGTCAACGCCTGCCAGGCCGAACTTGGGGCAATAGCCGTCCGCCCACTCCCAGTTGTCGCTGATGGTCCAGTGGAAGTACCCGTCTATGGGCATGCCCTGCGTAGGAAGGGGTAGAGTGGGTGGTGATGGTAGAGAGGAGTGAGTGGGGTGAGTTGTCGACTTGTATAATAAAGCGAGGGAGTGAATGGGTGTGAGTTGGGAGAGGAAAGGGTCATCGGAAGGAGGGTACATGCAGGAAGGTGAGTGTATGTCTGTTTTTAGTCAAGCAACCACATAACATAGCGCAACCTTGTCTGCCGCCCACCTCCTTGATAGCCGCGTTCAGTGCCAGCAGGTGCTCAATCAGATACGGGCGGCGAATGTTGTCCTCAGTGTCGGCAAAGCCGTTCTCAGTGACGATGAAGCGCAGCGCGGGGTGGCTGGGCGAGTAGCGGCGGTGGAAGGCCATGAGGATGCGGTAGAAGCCATCGGGGTAGACTGCCCTGCCGGCTTCGGAGAATTCTTCCTCCTCCACACTCTGCAGGCCTGCTGTCGACATGAACTCCTGAGGGAAAGAGGGGGGGGGGGGGGGGGGGGGGGGGGGGGTGAGGGAATTGGGGCACGGGGAACAGAGTAGCGCTGGTGGAAGGCCATGAGAATGCGGTAGAAGCCATCGGGGTAGACGTCTCGGCCCGCCTCGGAGAATTCCTCCTTGTCCACACTCTGTAAGCCTGCTGTCGACATGAACTCCAGTAAGAGTGGCGAGCAGGAGAGCGGGGGGAGTAGGAGGGTAGGGGACCAAGGGGAAGGGAGCAGGCGGTGGAAGGAAGGCCATGAGGATGCGGTAGAAGCCATCAAGGTAGACTGCCCGGCCTGCCTCTTAGAATTCTTCCTCTTCTACACTCTGCCTGCAGACCTGCTGTCGACATGAACTCCTGGGAGAGGGGTAGGAAGGGGAGCAGGAGCGGAGGTGGAGGGGAGTGGGGAAGGAGGGCAGAGGGACAGAAGGGCAGGGGGACAAGGGGAAGAGAGCGTGCGGTGGAAGGCCATGAGGATGCGGTAGAAGCCGACGTGGTAGACTGCCCGGCCTGCTTCGGAGAACTCCTCCTCTTCTACACTCTGCAGGCCTGCTGTTGACATGAACTCCTGTAAGAGGAGGGTGGGGATCGGGGCACGGGGAACAGAGTAGCGGCGGTGGATGGAAGGCAATGAGGATGTGTTAAAATTCGTCTGGGTAGACTGCTCGGCCTGCTTCGGAAACTCTTCCTCGTCCACACTCTGCACGCCTGCTGTTGACTTGACATGAACTCCTGAGAATGTGAGGGCGGGAGGGGAGGGGAGGGCATGGGGAGGGCAGGGGAGGTATCGGCAAGGCCAGGCACATGCTGAACGGGGAGGACAAGGCCGATGAAGGCCTAAAAAGACGAAACGCGCGTACGCTCTGAAACCACTTGTAATCTACCGATTTAATGCTACTACGTTTACCTACACGTGTTCTCGCCTAATAGTCCGTGAGTTTAGTAGTTCTTAGATTAGTCATCACTGGTCGGTCGAACCGAGCTTGCTGCTTTCTACCCGTTTCTCAGTTTGAGAGCAATGCCATGCAGATGCTGAACGGGGAGGACGAGGTGGAAGGTATGAAGATGTGGAAGGAGGGTAAAGCCACTTGGGTTACCTGTGGAAGGCTGTGAAGGTGCGAAACCCTTTTCATCATCAGAATCTGACCTGGCCCTAGCAGCTGCTGACATGGCCGAATCAGCTGCTGATCTGGCTGTACGAGCTGCTGACCTGGCACTTCGAACTGCTGACCTGGCCGAACCGTCTGCTGACCTGACCGTAGTAGTTGAGGCCGCAGAAGTCGAGGTGATGCTGGATGTGGTCGACCCAGGGGAAGAGTGTCATCCAGTCGATGTAGAGCGGCACCACCACGTCCAGCGCGCTGTATGGCGTCATGAACGCCGTGTTGGCCGCCACGCCCACTGGTGCTGTGCTCCTGGGGGATGGGGATGGTCAAGGAAGCGGACCAAAAGGGGGGATGAGGGTGGTACAACCACATGCAGTGAGGGGAAGAGCGTCATCCAGTCAATGCAGAGCAGCACCACCACTTCTAAAGCGCTGTATGGCGTCATGAATGCCGTGTTGGCTGCCACGCCCACTGGGTCTGCGCTCCTGAGGACAAGGAGTGAAAGGAGAGGTGATAGAGGGGAGGTGTGGGGGAAAGAGGGGCACAAGGGGACAAATTGGCACGACGCCATTGTCACACACACCATGAGGTGACGACTGAGTTGATTCAAGTCACCCGGCGTGGCGGAGTTGCTTTTGAGAATTATCAAAAGTGTGGCCATTGAGTTGACTCAAAAGTCACCTGGCGTGGCGTGACTATGCTGCCCTGCCCCACAGGCACCATGCCTAACTAACACTGGGCGACTTTTGAGGCGCCTCAAAAGTCACTGGGACTACGCTTTTTTTTTTTTTTTTTTTTGGGCTTTAAGGAGATCCCCGGAGGAAACTGGGACTACGCTGACTGCAGCAGGCTCAGATTCACTGCCATTCCCTGCCCTTTCCCGAGCGGCCCAGACCTACTCTTCTAGAATTGCCTTATCAAGCAATGTGTGCATCCCTGATGTGTTGCATGGCCTGGCTGTACTGCCCCACGGGCGACATGCAGAGCGCCGACTGCAGCAGCGAGGGGGGCCGTATCCCTTCCCAAGTGTCCTTACCCCTTCTTGATGGTCTTGAATGCAGCGATGTGAGCCTCCCCAACGTGGCGCATGGCCTGGCTGTACTGCCCCACGGGCGACATGCAGAGCGCCGACTGCAGCAGCGAGGGGGGCCGTATCCCTTCCCAAGTGTCCTTACCCCTTCTTGATGGTCTTGAATGCAGCGATGTGAGCCTCCCCAACGTGGCACATGGCCTGGCTGTACTGCCCCACGGGCGACATGCAGAGCGCCGACTGCAGCAGAGAAGGGGCCCCATACCCTTTTCCAAGAGCCCTTACCCTTTCTTAATCGTCTTGAAAGCAGCAATATGCGCCTCCCCAACGTGGCGCATGGCTTGGCTGTACTGCCCCACAGGCGACATGCAGAGCGCGGACTGCAGCAGCGAGGGGGGCCCATACCCTTTTTCAAGTGCCCTTACCCTTTCTTGATGATCTTGAAGGCAGAGATGTGAGCCTCCCCGATGTGTTGCATGGCCTGGCTGTACTGCCCCACGGGCGACATGCAGAGCGCCGACTGCAGCAGCGAGGGCGCCTTGCCGGGCGGCCACACGCCCATGCAGTAGGTGAGGATGACAAACAGGTGCGGCTCGTTGAACGTCACCCAGTAGTCCACCAGTGGCCCGAACTCCCGCACTGCCAGCCTGAGAGGGTTGTAAAGGGGAAGGTTTGTGTGGTGGGAAAGGCAAGGTAAGAGTGCGGGTGAGGTGGAGGAAGAGGTGCGGCTCGGTGAACGTCACCCAGTAGTCCACCAGCGGCCCGAACTCCCGCACTGCCAGCCTGGCAGGGGGTGAGAGTGGGATGGTGGGGAAAGGGGCAAGAAAAAGAGTAAAAGGAGGAAAAGGTGCGGCTCGGTCAACCAGTAGTCCACCATCGGGGAGAACTCACTGCCGCTCCACTGCCCTCCCTGCCCCTCCACCGCACTCACTAGCCCTCCACCGCACTCACTAGCCCTCCACCGCACTCACTAGCCCTCCACCGCACTCCACCGAACTCACGTGCCCCTCCACCGCACTCACTGGGTCCAGGAGTCAAAGTGGTCAACGAGGGAGGCGTTGGTCCAGCCGCCAATGGGCTCGGCCCAGGAGGGCAGCGAGTGGTGGAAGAGTGTGAGCCGCGCATGCCTCTCGCCCGCACCAGCGCCATTATCTCCTTGTAGCGCGCCACTGCTGCATGGTCGATCTATTGTGGGATGAGGGAGAAGACGGAAGGGAGAAGGGCGGAGGGAGAAGGGAGAAGGAACAAATGAAGAGAGGGTTTTGAAGCCAAGTTGGAAGAAGTGCCTCCCATGCCCAAGCATACGCATCCACACCAATCCACCCCGGCACCTCCATCTTCCCCCCTGTGGCTCACGCGAAACCAGTCAACGCCCATGCGGAAGGCCTAAAAATATGTTCCCCATACCCTAGCGCATGCACCCATCCACCCCCTCACCTCCATCTTGCCCCCCTGTGGCTCGCGCAGAACAATCCTCCCCCAGTCAACGCCCATACGGAAGGCCTCCACGCCTGCACGTGCTGCCAGGTCCACCTCCACCTCAGGCTCGGTCCAGAACCGAAGCCGCTGCTCAGCCTTGGGCACGTTGTGCCACGCCCGAACCTGATGGATGAGAGGTTCGGCATTGGTTGGGAGGTTGGGCAGCAAGCGTCAAGCATAGATGAGGATTTATGGGTTTCTTGCAGACCTGAGGGTTTGTCATCAGGTGTGGAGTGGTGCATGGCTCTAATTGCAAGTGCGAATGCAGGCCTAGGGATTTTGTGGCGGCAATAGGATCAAGGCATCTGGACTTCGAAAGGTATAGGGTTTGCATTGAGGCAACGGGGAAGTTGAAGAAATAAAGGCAGGAACGAATCAGGCGGATGAACATGCGATGAGATATATGGAACGAGGAGAATAGCAATACGAAGAAACAGCAACATCCAAGAGAAGGAAAAGCGGCTGACAGGGCCTCGGTCGGGCTGTTTCTTTAAATCTCCCAAAAAAACGAAAAGAATAGCAGTATAAGAGAATGGAAGTGGTGAAGAGAAGGAAAGAAGCTGACAGGGCCTCGGTCGGGCTTCTCGTTGCTTCCGCGCCGAGCGAATTTCAGCCACGCGTCATCCAGCTGGTCCTCTACGTGTGCAGGCGCCGTGGCGAGGCCAAAGAAGAATCCCTTGCCGAGAACCGGGCAGTCGCCTGCTGACGTGGACAAGGGAGATGGACGCGATGCGACGGATATGAGACACGGACGGTGAGGATGCAGCAGAGCATGCGCATACGTGCAATGCGAAATCTCCCACTGCCTTGTGAACAGGACCAGGATGGTTAAAGCAATGCGGGGCGAAGGAACGAAGACTGCAACCCTAAGTACGATACAACATCCACGATATAAAGATCTCAGCAAATTTGGTGCAGTGAAGATAGAGCGTGGTGCCATCACACACGGCACACTCGTCAAGAAACGCACTCTCGGATTCGAGGCACGCGCGCTTGAATTCGGCGAGAATGCCGCCGGATTCAGTGACAGGTGGAGCTGTGAACGCGAGCTCCTGCTTCCAGTAGATCATGAACAGCAGCCCCAACGCCTGCACCATCGTCAGCACCGCGAACACTACTGCGGAGAGGATGCGCGCGAGCGACGCCATGGCTGAATCGTTGCCAAGGCAGTGCGCGGAGGAATGTGGAAATGCAAACCAGATTCAGTTGGAGCAAGGAATTGATGGGACAAGGGTGTTGAGAGGAAATTGGGGTGGGATGGGCGAGGGTTGATGGTGTGGTGTGATATGTGTTTACAGCTAACTTCGAAAGGTTTAGTGCGGTGCCGAACGTTTTAAAGCGGTGAAGACTGAGAAGCATCTCCAACCCTGCTCCACCGTATTTGAATGCGCAAAGGGAGCACTAGATGGTTTTTGTTGACCCGCCCCTGGTAGGGGAAGTTGATGGTGATGGTGGTCTCCTCTCGATAATGTCAAAACTGAAGCTCCAGTGCCTGAGGGCGTCCGAAGTGAATGTCGACACGACATCCCTAGACAAAGGGAATGTCAAGGAATGTTGATACTGTAAATCTTGACGGTCGGTTTTCTCAATCCAAGGGTTTCACCGACATTAGCAGCAGCTGCAGAACACATCGACTGTTCAGAAATCCATTCAAAAACCGATGCGCTAACTCGACAAAATGAGATGTTGCAGAAACAGTTCACAGAACACCAAAAACGGGTCTCTAATATCAAACGCATGTCAGATTGATGAACAATGAACGCCAAAATGTAAAAACACGAGGTCCTCACCAGATATACATAGCATGTATGCTATATACCTTGAACTAATGTTGTATTCATATTGAACTACAAGTCCAAACAACCACTTTTCAAGAGGGCGAAATAAACCCTCAGCTGGTCTTGGCCAGCAGTGTATGGTACTTCAATTTCAGAATGCTTTTAATAGCTATAATGAATAGGAAGTCAGTGATGCGCGAAAAAGAAGCCGTCAATCACGCTCGTAGCTGCACCATGCCCGCGGCCACACTGACAAATGCCCATCCAGGCAACTGCACATACAGAGAAAAAGGATAGCTCAGGCTGTGTTCAACAATGTCACATAGATAAAACCTGACATCACCATCTTGGTAAGCGAATGTTGGCAGAGGAAGGCACAACAATCCAAACCCCCGATAATGTACATGATCTTGCATTTGAACCCTTTAGTACGCACCTTGGTGTCCATGATCTTGGCAAGCTGCTTCCTCTCTGCTTTGCTCAGCTCCAGCTGCTGCCCCACCGTGTCCCGCAGAGATGCTAAAGCCACTCCTGCCTCGCCCTCCTGGTGGTGTGGGTAGGGGCAGAGAGGAGATATGGAAGGAGATAATATTGGTTTCTTTTTTTTGTAGGACAGAAAATATGGTAAGGGGAGACCTTGGCTGCGCACACACGCACACGTGCACACACGCACCCATACATGTTCACTTACACACACGCACCCATACATGTTCACTTACACACACGCACCCATACATGTTCACTTACACACACGCACCCATACATGTTCACTTACACACACGCACCCATACATGTTCACTTACACACACGCACATGCACACCCACACGCACGCACGCACACACCTATGCACCCACCCACACAACCACCCGCCCACACACCAGGAAATGTTAGCACCTTTTGCAGAGCTTGCTTGACAGCGCGCTTCACTCGAGTCTTCAACGCAACACCGCCCTTTGAGCCATCAGCCGGTTCACTGCCTGACACCTCCATGCCAGCGCTGCTCCCTTTCTTCAACTTCTTCCTGCTGCCACCTGCCTCTCCTTCCTTTCCCTTATCCTCTGCACGAATCCCCTCCTCCTTCACCTCTTCTTTCACAACCTTCTCGTTGTGCTGCCATCTATTTCCAATCACCACTCTCCGCCTCTCTGCAACTTCTGGTACCGCTTCACCCTCCGCAGCTGCCTTCCCGCCCTTGTCTTTCCTCGACCGATCCTCTCTCTTCCGCTTCTTGCTCCTCCCTTCCTTCTCTCCCCCTTCCTGCTCCGCTGACCCAGCACCATCACCCCAACCCGCATCCACAGCAGCAGCAACAGTTTCTGCGCCTGTTGTCAATACCGCCCCTTCTGCACCAGCTGCTGCACCATCCCTGTTCTCCTCTTCCCCCCTTCCCTCCTCCACCACCTCCTCCTCGCTCTCATTCCCATCCTCCTCATTCTCCTCCCCCTCGCTGACCTCTTCTAAATCTTCGAACGTCTGTTTGGTGCCCTTCCATCGAGCCCCCGCCACCTTCCGCGGCAGGTCGCCAATTCCCAACCCCTGCTTGCCGCTCGTCGCGTGATCCTATGAAGCACAGAGTTGGAGTGGTGGTGGGGATTGAGAGAGGGCGGGGAAGCGGGAAGAAGATATTATGGAAAAGAATCAAAACCAACAATGATTCCCAAAACTCACTTGCAAGGCGAGCATTGACGTTCTGCGCATTCCTCTTAATGTGGTTATCAAGTTAGGTATGATCATATGTATGTACCATGCAGCATGCGTGCCAGGCCAGCCAATGGGATGACAGACCGGCGGCAGAGCCAGAAGCAGCTGCATGGGCGGCACACAGCCATGGCTGGGACGAACCGAGCCATGGTTTGACGGCGCTCACTGGTGTGGCACGACAGATTGAACTCCATGGCCATTTGAACGACCATCAAGCCTTCGAAGCGTGCGCAAACACAAACACACTCCCCGTAAAACCCTCCATAAACTCTGAAAGACCCCTCAGGTTCAACCCTGAACTGAAACGAATGCATTGAAACAATTTGCCTGAACCGCGCCTTCTTCTCCCCCTCCTCCCTCGCCGTAGCCCTTGCACTCTCCCCAAATACTCATTCACGCGACACCCTCGTGAAATCACCTGACTATCAAACCAAACCCCTTCAAAACCCTTCAACCCTTCCAAACCCTGAACTATACATACGTGCACGAGGTTGTAAAGATTCTCCTGGTCCTGCTCGCTGAAACCTGCCTTCTTCTCCTCATCTTCCTCTCCTCCCTCGTTCGTCAACCGGCCAGCTCCCGAGCCTGACCCGCGCACGAACCCGAACTTCAAGCCCCACCAATCGGCGGGCAGCGGCGGGAATACGAACTGCTTCTGGCACTCCAGCTCCAGCAACCCGCCCTTCTTAGGCTCGGCCGAACCTGCTGCTCCGGCAGCTTTCTTTTTCGACCCTGTGGCGCTGCTGCTGCTGCTGCGACAGAGAGCGGTATCTGACGCGGATTTTACCACCCGCTTCTGAGCCCGCCCTGCTGCTGCTGGCGCT